AATTCGCGGCGCTCGCGTTCGTTTTGCGCTTCTGCGCGCGTCCGCCCTTCGGCGCGCCGCCTCCGCCGATCAGTTAAACATGAAACTTATGCGCAACGAGTGTTATTTGTAGCGCGGCAGCGCCACGAGCGGATTTAATATCCCACTGGGAGTTTTCATTTACGTTTTAGCATCAAACCATCGCCTGGGAAAACCCGTCTGTGGAATTTTGCATCTGACCGCCACCGGCCGGAACCATGTGTCCATTAAATTTTCACTGAATGTTTGTTATATTCCAGCCGTTGCCGTGGCATCCAACTCTCGGCTGTTATTCTTTTTTTTTGCGTTGTGTTTTTGCAGCCGGAGTTGTGACTAGTTCATCTGATACACCCTGGTCTAGCCGAGCGTGGCGTGTGTTTTGCAGTGATGGCCCTGCGCGACTCGATAAAATTGCATAATTCATTGACGCATTTTTTGCGCGCGATGCGTTCCGCCGGCGGGCGCGATGTCCTCGCGCCTCCACCGGCATTCGCAAACGTACGATTCTTGTGGGCCCAATAAATCACCAACTAGCGGCTAGTAAATAATAGATGCCATTCGGTCTCGGGGCATTTTCGCTTCACGCGCTCCTTGCACTGCAGCCGGCTTTTTCCGGGATTTAGCGCGCGGCGAAATTATGAAGAAGTGCAAAACGGCGGCGCTCGTCGAGCACGTTGGGCCCATACTTTTTCATTACATTATCTATACGTGTATGTCCGTGGGAGTAAATCAGAGTTATCAACGAAACGAACGGCGGGCGGCGAACGGGGCTCCTAACATCGCCGCCTCCTCCGCGCAACCTTGCCGCTGCGCTCAACTTCTAAACGAGAAATAACCGTCGCGACGTGACGCGAGCCTTAATGCAATTTTTACTACTTTCCTCGTACCTCGTAACTCATCTTTCAATTCGTTTTCGGTCGCCGCGCCGCAATTTCCGAGGCCGGGCACGAACCGCCGCCGCGCCGGCACGATGAAAAACATCTTATCGAATCGCCGCGATAGAGATACGAGCACAATAAAGCGTTGAAAAATTACGGCGTAAAGTTTCTCTTTGGTACCTACTGCGCAGTTTGTCGCGTGTGCCATGTGTGTCGTCCTAATGCAATTCACGATTACCGGCTGATTATTTCGAAAGAAAAAATCGCTTATGGGCGAAACGAATCGCTTATTAATTGGCTTTATTTGGCATGCGGTTTGTTTTCGATTAGCGCGCGCCGAGTGAAAGTTAAATATTCAAATCACCACTTTAGGAAAACATGGGCGAGCGCACGATTAATGCTATTGACAAATTGTCGCGGCGCGCCGCCAATCTGTGCTTTTTGTGCGTAGATCAAATACGGGCGGCGCGCATATAATGTAATGTAATTAATGGAATGTAATTGAATTTGCGTTTATTAGCACGCACTCAATTAGCGGCGCGTGTGCGCGCGTTCTGGAAATCAGTTGTATCGTGCGCGATAAGAGTCGCTTAACGGCGGTTTTCAATCAGGAGAGAAGCATGAATCGATTTGCGAGTTCGTAATCAGTGCCATACGAGGTGAACGTGCGGCGCGGCGCGATGTGTTTGCGAAAAGAAAACGCGCGCGAGGAAAAGTTACGGCGAGCGCGCATAAGGTCTCTAATAGTGCGCCCTTTTTGTCGGTCGTACGAACCACTTAGCATTTACACGGATTATCCATTATCCGAGCTTAAAGTGATAAGTTAATAGGATGGTGGGAGCGCGCCGGAAATGCGCGGATTCGGTGGGCGCGGGCGGCGGCGGCGGCGGCGGGCCGGGCGTTTTTTCCCCGCCGCCGCCGCCGTCGAACCGGCCGTGGGCGCGCGCGCCGCACGTCTGTTTTTCCCGCACCCGCGCCGGGTTTTTCCATTGTCGGCGTTCAGGCGGGGCCAGCGCGCCACGCCGCCCACCATTTCCTTAGCAACGCGCAGCGCGCCAACGTTGCCGGCGGGACGCGCGAACGGCCCACAGTTTAGGTTAACGAGATTTCGATCCCACTTCTTCGGCGCGGCTACCTACTGCCGCGCGGTGCGGAGATGGGGAGCAGCCGCGCGACTCTCGCCTCTATGCGGCGAAGGTGCGAGGTGTCAATTGGCGAGGCGGCGGTGGGACGGCGAAATGCTTGCAAATTTTTCTCTCGATTCGGCGCGGAATTGATTTTTTTTTGCGCCGCGACGTGCCCGCCGTCGTGCCCGGAATCGTTCGATTTTCATTTGCACTCGGGGGGCGCGCGCATTTCCCTCAAGTCGCGCCGAGCGTGTTCGACAACTGCCACACGCTGCCGAGCGCTTTATATTAATTTCGTAATTGTGATGCGCTTGTTCGCCCCCGACTGTCGAACCTCGTAAAAACAACAAAGTTGATTTATGTCGCGCCCGACATCCTTGTATTTTTACCTGCGCGCGCACATTTAAAAACATCATTAAACTAATTAATTTGCTTCTTCCTTGTTTTGCCATTTTTCCAGCGAGCAGCTTAAATATTTTAGGTGGCGCATGAAATTTTATATTTGGCGTTTTATGGCCACATCGCTGACATGTTACGATCGGGAAAATTATTATCAAATACTCAAGCAAATAATATATACCTAAATATAAAAATGCCATAATATATAAACTTCGATATGGTTATTATCGAATCGTAGTTTCTATTATCGTCCGATTGCATGACATTTATCCATTGGCCTGAAAAATGCCATTTTTTCAGATCAAATTATTTCCTCGTTTACTGAAAAATAGAAATAAAAATTGCCCATAAAATATTTCATCAAATCTACCCAAAAATACACCAAAAAAGCGTATTATTCATATATTATCATAATAACAGTTCATTATATAAATATTAGAAGGAAGAAGGCAAAAAATAAAACACAAACGTCCAAATCAAGCATAAATAAAATACAAGAAGCCGAAAAAAAAACATTTGTTTCTTGGCGATTATATTTTTCATATTTTCCGACGAGCTGCGTTCGTGGTTCGTGGTATTGTTCGTTAATGAGATTACAAATGAGCTCTTGAATGAAATAAATAACTGATCGTGTCGTTGGCGGTTCAGTAATTAGATTTTTATATTCGATGCCATCGCACACAATTCGTTCATTAATTATTTTTGCTAATTTAACGCAAACAAGCATTTCTATTTGGTCGCGTTTGCAGCCTTTCGCCATTATTTGCCTTTTGCCGGGCCGGCCGGGCTACTTATCGGATTTCTCACGGGTCGCGGCCGCTCGGCCATCCGAACATTATTAAAATATGAATTATGATACAATTTCATTAGCATTTTAATTAAACGCCGGGCGAGGAAACGCGCCGCAACGCGAAAGCGAACGCGTTCACACAAACGCTTTGTCTGCGGACGCGCGGCTAAACAATAATAAAGCGCCGGGCGTAATTCGCCATCATTTTTTACACCGCGGCCCGTCTCCGGCCGCCGAGCGCTCTTCCTCACGCCACGTGATAAATTAATTACAATAATTAGCGCATTAATATTATGATTATTTAATTGTGGCTCGTTGCGACCGCCATACATCATCGTACACGCCGCTGTTGGGCTCATTAATAATTCGGAATGGGAGCCGGCTCGGCGCGGAAGAAGATGAAGAAGTCGTTTCCGCCGCGAAGGAGCGGCGAGCACATCGGCGAGTCCGAATTGGAGCCCACGAATGCTCCGGCCCTCGCCGGCGCGGATTAGTCGACGCGGCGGGCAACGCATCGATGCGCATTAATTAAATTACTATCCGGCCGGGCTTAATAATTTAATTAAAATACGAATCGGAGCGAAATTAATTTTTTTAAGCAAACAAACAATTTCATTTATATGTTAATCAGCGGATTTGCATTTTTGATTTATTTTTGCTTGTTTGTTTGTTACGTTACTTTTTCCTCTGAAATGCAATAGTTTAACATGTTTTACTTCTCTATATTTATTGTGAATTGTTGAAACTTGGAGAGCTTTGGGGCTTTGGTGTTTCAGTGTGCAAGGGGCATCTAGCGGAGAAGGGCAAAAGATAATATTTTATCCGAAAGCTACCATATTCATATTTTTTCACTAAAACAATGCATAATTTTATTTAAATTAATATTGTTTTAATAAAATTTACTTTACTTAAATAATAAAACAGTTAGAACGTTAATTTTCTGAGTAAACGATATTTTTAGCTCAGTTTTTGTGCTTTATGTTATTTTATTTGTAATAAAATTATGTTTTGTAATTACAAGAGCTGAACTTTTAAAAATTAATCCTGTTTGATTTTTAATTTGTGTTTAATAAAAGGTTAGAGTTAATATTTTACTATAATTTCTACATACACGAGACATCTAGAGGTCAAAGTAAAGATAACATAGTAGAGAGCTTTATATTGTCGACCATGGACATCTATATTTCGTTCTCGGAACTATTAAAGCTTTAAATAAAACTAATAAAACATTTTTAGTTTGCTTTGAAAAAAAAAAGACAGAAACAGAAACAAACAATTTCAAAAACTAACGTAGGCTTTGGAAATAAAATCTAACCAACTAACATTAAATAATTATTTCTTGTAATTGAAGAAGTTTAGTTTTGAAAAATTGTACTTCAAATAATTGTTATGTTCATATAAATGTAACTTCCTGGATCTTCTCTTCCTGGATCGGAATCTGTTGGGTGTACTTTTCGGTATGTTTGTATTTGTACCAATTATTTTATGTCCTTTTAACTGTTGTTCAAAAATCCATATACCTACACCCTTCTCCGAAATTATTATTTATAATAAAATAAAACTTCCACCTGAATTATGGTGTAAGTGAACTTGGAAGTGTTTACTATCTAGCAAATATGATGTTCATGCACGTTCAACTGATGACAACGTACGATTGAAAACGGAAAACATGAAAAGAAGCACCACGCTCATCGATAACGAAAACGCAACCGCCCAATAGACCGACTGCATCCACCAAAGTGGCGCATTGTTGAAGCTAATTTACATCATAGTTAGAAGGGCATACAGTGCAGTTCTCGAACCATCGACAAACATGTTTCACGTTTATTTATTAATACTGTGCTTGCCAGGAGTGCTGAATGTACTCTTCGATGAAGAGTTGGCGGACGACCTCGAAGAGAAAAAAGACGCAGTTTACCGAGACATGGCAACTACCTGTCTTGATAATATCCTGAATGGCCTTATCTCAAATGGCTCGTTTATTACAATCACACAAGTGTTTATGTACTCCTATCCACAATTTGAAATAACTCAGCGTGTGATTAAACACATGCATGAGAGGGCTCCTGAAACCAGATGGACCATGGAAGGGACAAATGGAACCAGAAAGGCTTTTCCAAGTTTTGCGGAATGCTTAGCGAATTGCAATGACAAGAAGAATAAGAAAACTGGTAAAGTGAAGAAGATCAGGTACCATAATAAAAAAGTAAGGAAATCCGAATATTATGTAATATTTATAGATAGATTAGATGACTTGGCAAACATTCTGGATCGACTTAAAGCAACAGATTCCTATGATATTAATGCACGATTTGTTCTCATTTATGGTAAATTCTTAAAGCAGGGTCTTCGTGTTCAGACCGACGTATTAAAACTAATGTACAATCGCCGGCACTTTAAAACAATGTTTATCATGCCTGTGAACTTGAAAACTATCAGTGTTACAGGCATGCTGTTGTTTCATCCGAACGAAAAAGGACATGAATACAGTTGCGGACGAGTGCCACGATTTGAATCAGTTGGTCATTGTCACAGTGGCGTTTTTAAATTTCGCCCAGCTTTTCGTTCGCTGACACTAAAACGAGGTTTGAATTGTGTTCAGGATGTACAGCTGATGTACATTCCACCAATGGTAATCTCAACCACATCCGGTGCAGAAATTGAAATTTTAAACACGGTGGGTGAGAAACTGAACATTTCATTCCACTACCACGTGCAAAGTGTGTCACAGAACTGGGGACTGATGGGACCATTGGATCCAACTTGTAAGGTGAACTGTTCCAAATGGACTGGGAGTTTGAAAAAAATTGATTTAGATCCCTTTCTAATTGGTGTAGGAAGAGTGACTGTAACACCTGACCGGTCAATGCATTTTGCGTTTGCAATCACGTATTACATGGAGGATATGCTGTGGGTAGTACCCAGTGCTGAATTAATACCACCATGGGCATCTATTATCACCATTTTTGAATGGCCCACTTGGATCACGTTGTTCTGCCTGGTAATCTTGATGGGTTCTTTGACGTTTGTCTATGCAAATTTATGTTACAGCAGTGAACATAATTATTTACACTCATTCTCAGCTGCAATTGTGGTATCAATTCAGATCTTCTTCACTACCGTAGTGGCTACCCAACCAAAGAGTAATCCAGTACGATGGCTCTTCATCTGTTACGCAATGTTTATGATTATCGTTGGTAGCTTATACCAGAGTAGTCTGGTGAATGTTCTCACCCATCCAAGGTACGAACATCAGATCGACAGTGAGGATGAGGTTTTTGACTCGGGCATAGGTATCGGGGGATTGGAAAGTCGAAAAAACATTTTTGACAATTCACTATCAGATCGCGACACGCGTATTTACAACAACTATGAAATCTACGCGACTGAAAATGACACTGAATATCAATGGTTGTTGACTGTAGCGAAAGATCGAGATACGATAACTATTCTGGGTGAACACTATGCGCAATATTACATAGACAAAAAGGACAGGCGGATTGTCGAGCAGAACGGCCGACCAAAAGTACACCTGATCAAAAATGATGTCCTTTATACCGAACAGGTGAGCATCGTCTTCCCGCAGACATTCTTTCTGACTGCTGATTTTAACGAAATAATCACTTTACTCTTCGAAAGCGGATTGGTGCAAAAGTGGAGAATACAGTATAGTTCTTTCAATGAAGAAAAAGTTAAAAAGGTAGCGATAACGAAAGAAACCAATGATGGACAAAATGAAACCATAATTGAAGGTAGTGGTGACTACGACGAAGAAGATGAAGAGAACAATGAAAGCAGCACGGTGGTGATTACATTAGATCACTTACAGGGCGCATTCGCCGTGTTCATGATTGGCAACCTTGCTGGAGCCATTGCATTCACCTGTGAAAACATTTATTTCCGAATTCGAAAGCTGTACACGCGAACACACGTCGAAAAACAAATGATTAAATGGAAGCGTGTCGCGAGGCAGAATCGCGTGAGACCTGCCAAAGTCAAACAGAATTTTGATCGGTATAATAAAAAACGCAATCCGCAGCACAAATTGCGATTTGTGCAGCAGAAAACACCGTTGATTTAATTTTGCTTCATTATACACACGGAATTTATTAGAGGTCTACAAAGATAATCAAATATTTATCTTGCGTTTCATGTTATCAGTGATACGCGCACACGGCATTCGGAGCATTGTAATAATTTCGCACAACAAACGCAAGTACAAATAAATAACTCGCACGATTTTACAGCAAGTAATTATCAATCACGGACCCACTCCTACAACGAACCATTGTGTTTCCCGTTCTGGCCATACTCCCAGTTAAGGCAAGTAATCATGAAATCATATATGATGTGAATGACTGCATCATTATTGTTCATTTTGTCGATTGTTCAAATTAGCGTTGACGCTTGCATTCGTTCTGACTGTGTGCCAGTGTCAACACCAAATTAAGTGTCACAGTGCAAATCAAAATTTGTTGTGTATTTCTTTCCGATTTCGTGCATAAATCGCCTAAACAATCATAAATACTAAAGCAATGTGTGAAGTGTGAAGTGATGATTGTAAGTAATTCTAAACAAGAGACTCTTCCGAAATATATCGTAAGTATGTTAATGTGTTCTAAGCAGATTAGTAGGTGTCTACTACTCCTAATAGTAGATATCATAGTAAAATAATATTTCGATACACGTTCGCGCGTCTGGTGAGCAGCGTGTACACATGAGCTGCGTGCATCTGTTCAACACGTTCAGTTATTTTCGCTCCACGCTTTTTTTACGCGAAGCATCGCGTTGGGAGACCTTGCCTTGGTCGCGCGCTTTAAAAATAAATTTCGAGCATCTCTCCGATTCCGTTTCCATTTTGTTACTGTACCTTTGGCGTTCAGTATTAGTTTGTAAGTCTTTGCGTCGCAGTGTGTTTGTGGCCCGCAGCGCAGGGTGAAAATGTCTTTCATGAAAGGGGTATGGCGCCTCCTAAAGAGGTGCTACATTCTCGGCTACAAGTATGTACTTTATCATTCGTCGAATTATTTTATTTTCATATTTGTGGCCTGTTCAGACGGCCTGCGTGCGTTTGATCATACGCTGCAGGTTGAGTAACAATTAGGCCGATAATAACCGAGGCTGAGTAAGAGTCGTTAGCGTTTTTATTCATAAAGCAACGATTAAGAGAAGCCCCCACAGCCAAATTTTTATAATATGATGCCTGGCTTGTACTTAAACCAATACTTTAAATTTTACTCATTTTCAGCAAGAAGAAAAACATTTTCGGTATGAATCCGTTACTCATATCGACGTTTTTCATCATTCTCACGGCTGTGCTGGCGTCGATGTTCCGAATGACTGTTAAGAAATGTCTTGGAGATGGAATAGTTAAACAAATGCTATTGGAATTCATCGCCACTGCGGAATTGTGTGCTATATGCTTTGAATTAGTCATTGGTAGATTAATGCATGAATCAGTTAATAATCAGAAATCTAAATTGATTTTATTTCTTCCAGTCGCTGATAACTACGGTGTGTGGGTATATGCTCTATATTTATTTTTATTAACATTATGGTGGGCAAGAGTATGGGAGATCGAGTCGGCTTGCCCATACTCCGAAATGGAAAAGGTTGTAGAAGGCACACAAGAAGCTTTAAAAGCCTTGTATGTTATTATTGCTCAAATATTGGGAGGTATTCTCATCTACTACTATGTTCAATTGTTGTGGTCGATGGAGTTGACTGAAACACATCGCGGAAAAGTGGATGAGGAATGCAAAGCAGACTTGCAGGTAATAATATTGTGTTTTGAAGGCTTCCCTCCGTTTTACCTTATCCTTCTCTACCTAAATCCTTTCCTCAGCACCACTGGTTGCAACGTACCATAATTGAAATCCTGGGTACCTTTATTTCAACGTTTCCGAAAAGGTACTTCGTGAAATGCTGCCAACCATATGGCGCACCCTTTTGTATCCTCTGGGATATTATGTTTGCATTAATGGGCAAGTTGTTACACGTTGGCGCTGTTTTCATGAACGCAGCGATTGGTACAAGTTTTAATTGGAAATGCACACCGCTTTGGCATATAGCTTTAGCTTTTTGGCTTGGAAGTAACAGCGGCGCACTAACGGCTTTCTTGCTCGTGAAAAAACTACGTTGTCGTCCACTTGCATCTCTTCGTCGAAATGTATCAGAGGGTAGTGCTAGCATAAGAAGTACCAGAACCTAATTCCAGAATCCCAGGTTACATTCCCTTTGCACATTACCTTCACTTTAAGAACTTGAAAAAATGGCTTTTCTGAAGCAAACTTCATTTTCAGGTTTCTGCTGCCGTCGGTACCTTCGTAGAGGGCTTATCAACATGTGTATGTCGGTTGGCATCACGATTTTTAAATGACTCCAATGCACGATTTGCAGCAATCGCCGATCCATTTTTTGCCACAATGATGGTGGTAGCGGCGTTTAATTACTCTGGAGGATATTTCAATCCGGCGCTAGCTACTTCCTTGAAAGCTGGTTGCGAAGGGCACACTTTGGTCGAATTTATGGTGGTTTATTGGTTTGGGGCTTGTGCAGGAGCGATTGCCAGCATTTATATATACAGATCTGACAGTTTCAAGCAATTTACTGAGCGTATTAAGCCCAAGACGGAATAAGTTCTGATCAAAACGATGCTATGTAAATGCACACGACAATGCACCAGCAATTATATATACGTTAAACCAACGACGCAATTTATTCTAGTCAATAAATGATTGTGATACTATCAAAATAACATTTTGTCTATTTAATGGAATACCTCATGTAATCCTAAAACATATAATTCCAGAATTTTGATTTTTATTCCTTTTGAGGTATTTTTACAAGCAGAGAGTTATTTCAGTTCAGGTATTTTGATGCGAAACTTCTTTTGACCGACACCAGGTGGGACAATCAAAGAGATAAGCATGAGCACACATCGATGCGCTTTCACAATACAATGGCGTCAGCGTTTACAATAGTGTTTACAACGGTTCGTTCGCGTGCGGATATCGCGGCGTGCGTGATTCTTGCAATTTTAATTTTGCAAATGCGACATTCGTTCAATTACTGCTCAAACTAATAACAATAACGCTGTTGACATGTTCTTACGAGTATAAAAAACATTTTGTACCGTTTCACGTGATGATTGTGTCTTCAATTGACCTTTATTTCGAGTTTGTGTAAATCAGATTGGTGCATCAACAGTGATACCTAGTGTTTATAATATTTGTGGGTGCGTGTTATTCAATCGGACAATTCATACTCGGCGAAGCGCTTATAGAAGATCGTAAGTACCATTCATATTATTTCTGTTTTTATTGGGAAGTAAAAATTCATTTCTTGTCTCGAAGCATATTATTGTTTTTTTTATGCAAAGTAAGCGGGCAAGCGTACGGCTTAGAGTGCCTTAGAGCAACTAAATAATCTTAGATAAGTTAAACAATACGCAATGTTTTTAAGTCCAAGTTTTAAAATATCTGGATATTTTCACTACAAAATAATTTAAAAACAATCCATATTGGTGCATACTAGACCCATTCCCGTTAGATCGCACATGCATTCATTACAACCAAGAAATTTTTTACTATTTGGCGGACATTTAAACCCTGCAAATGTAAAAAAAGATAGATATTGATTTAACTTAACTTAAATTGATATAATTACCATAATAATATATGCATGGATATTGGGTGCACCGATATTTGCCACCAATGCAACTACAAACATTGCATTCCTGTCTTTTTAAACTGCCATCTTTACATTCCACATTGCAAACTTCAGCATCACAAACCCACTTGCCATACTGACAAACACAATGAATGCAATCTTTTCTCTTCAGTTCTCCATGATAACATTCTGTAATTATTAATTTCGCATAAACTTTCAATTCCTTACGATATAATCGTAAATCAAGTTTTGGTACCTTTTTGTTTTCCAAGCATCTCTAGAGGAGAGCATACATTTTTCGTGCATGACCACATCGCCCATGTCCACAAGCATCGGCAATAATTACAGTTGACCCATTTGGTCTCGTTGAATTTGCACATATCAAGCGGCGAGTAGTAATCTCCTTCTGTTTTCCAACACACCAACAAACCCAAAAATGCTGTCACAGGAAATGATGTCTTCATTGTTCTTCGAACAAAGGTGTAAATACGAGTAGTAAACGCGCGACACTGTGTTTACATCACCTGTTGACGACTTCCATCATTTGGTTATTGTTCCAAGTTAATCGGTAATGTTCCACCTACAACAACATCATTCGCAAGCAAGCTTCGAACACAAATCAGTGATATACCACCAATGTAAACAACGGGGCAATAACAAAGTGCCAATTAATTTTCTACATGCATCAATTTTATTTCATTTGCCAGACATCGTCAAAGAGTCTACAAGTTATTGATAGTCGCATTACAATTACAATCTGGACTGAAATTGTTACGCTGTTGGTTTTACGAAACAAGCCATCTCGGTACAGGCCCAATTTCCCGCATGGCACTGGCATGTGTTGCACTCGATCTTTTTGGTCTGCCCAGTCTCGCAGTGGTCGTGGACGTCTACAAAAGACGTTAATAAATTATGCTTCGTTTAAGATTTAAAACTTTATGCTTTGCGAGAACAATGCCACGGCTATTAAAAATAACAATGTATAATTTTGTGTGCTACAAAATATATCAGGTGTGCAATCTGCTCTGAAACAAGCGCAACTAGAGCTTACCTCGGGTATCTCTGATTTGCACTTTTGGTCCGTCACATTGTTTCCTTGTGCACGCCCAGCCCCCCTTGGTACAGTAGCAATCATTGCAGTTATCGTCGGATTTTTTTGACTCACCCTCTGTGCACACCTCGGCCTCTATAAAAAAATCCAATCATCACATCATCGATTTTAAGCCTCTTTTCGAAGAAATATTTGATGAAACATTAAACTTATTGTTTTAAAGGTTAATTAACGAATGAATTTATTTAAGAATGTCGAATATAGCATTATATCACGAAATCCAACACAAAAATGTTTGAATTAGCTGTAAATAAATGCGTGTACTTACCTTGTGCAAATGTGGCTTGGATCACAAGCAATGCAATAACCACGAAAATCAATGTACGCTTCATGATTCACAACGATTTGGTAAATATTCGTTCGCTGCCTGAATATCGACTAACACCAAGTGATGAGTGCGCGCGGTTTTTATATCCAGATACATAATCAATCAATTCTAAAATTGTTATTGCGCTTGAGCGGTTTATCAGAAACCAGTTGACCTTACATCGTAGCTTAGCTAATAATTATAACCGAAATGTGAAAAATGTATTCCGATGAGGCCAAGTATAAAAGTGCTGTCCACACGAACTTTGTGTACAATCAACTTATGATAATTACACTAATGGCTATTCAAATATACAATCTACACACACATTAAGAGATTAATATTTATAACAGACGTGTGCTTGAAATTCTCGATTTGTAGCAAGTAGATAAATACTAGTGGCTGATTATTGACTCTTTACTGATACGCTCAGATCAGTGATAAGAATGTAATCATTTATTGATTTCAATACGAATTTAATGTGAACTAGTAGAATGTGTTGACTAGTGGCGCATGTTATCATGATGTTATTAAAGTTTTTCCACAATGATTGTGGGTGAGAGCTGGTCGAAGGTTTTATATGTGTCTTCATGCACGAATAACACTAGTTTCCCCCACCACTCTTTGCGGGTAGTCAGCAGTTATAAAAGAGCAGCGGTAAGCGCTTAGGGTTCTTAGTCGTGTTCAGTAGCAGGTGGTTAGGTTTTTCCCTTCCGCGCTCTCTTCGAATCATAATGTGGCGACATCTTGCATTGAATTATGGAGTCACTACACTGGCGGCCTCAAATTATAGAATTTTCTTATTAAACAAGTTGACTGAGCCTTATCCTCAGTCAATGTTTGAGATATAAAAAAAATATTTGATTATTGTATATCTGTATTCATCTGATTAACATATTTTAAAGTTTTCCTCACTTGAATCTATAATACATAGAAACATACATTTATATAATATACTAAAATATAACACATTTGGTATAGAATCAATTAGATCATACCCTTACATTGATTAAATTCTATGTAACAGTATTAATTATGTAGAAAAATGGACCTTTTTCAACCCTGCTTGTTATTTTTTTTTAAATTTTGTGTGCTAACATAATAATCCTTAGCTTAAAATATCTCAACGTATCCAAGTTGAATTACAGCCAACTCCATCAGCTGGCGAGGTTTATAATAAACGGTAATTGCCATTGTCTTGCGTTAAAACCGTCTTATCACAACAGAACAGAGTTAGCTAGTAATCACCAATGGAACTGAACCGCCTTATTATGTTAACAAAAAGGTCCTACTAACGATTATATATATTTTTGCTCTCTCTCTCTAAAAAATTACATGTACAATAATTCTAAATTTATTTTTTGATGCTCTACTTCCGTTTCAATATTGTTTATACTTATATAGAATTAATTTAACAATAACAAAAGTTTAAATTTTCGAAAACACCACCGCATCAACATGCGACCGCATGTAGTTGTCACGTGGACGCGGTGGCGACAACGAATTTTCTCGCGCCAAATGGCGCATATCTGAACCCTGATGGGTTGAGTTAGATACAGAAATGTTCAAATAAATGTCCTGAATGAATGCGTGAACTTTTGCAGCGAGGACGCGCATATGCGTACCGTAGGCCGGTGCGGACGCGCTAACCCTCATAGGTTGAACAACGACGGCACGCACAGCCTAAGACGATGATCTGCTCATGAAAGCGTCATCGGATGACCTGTTGGTCTGATAGTATGATTGTTAGGGAAGATTGGAAGGGTTTTCTATTGTTAGGGTATTGACTTTACGTCAAGTACGCGCTGCTCGTTGCAAAAGTTCGAAAAGCACTTCACGAGATTTTGGTGCGCCACCAGCAGTACAGGATGAGTGCCGATGCGAAGTCATCGAATGAGAAGACCAAAATGAATATAAAGGAAGCGATGAGAATGTTGAGCGGATGCGTGCGGATGGTTCGTGCGTTTGCGAAGTGAATGTTCAAGCGTGAAGTACGCGCAGAGTTGCTCTTGTCCTCTGCGTTTAATAAATTCGTAAGAACGTCCGTTACGGAAGGCGAGTGTTGTTGACCTAATGGAGATTTAATTTTTGGAATGCGATTGGGGCGAATGATGGGAATGCCAGATGGAAACTTCGCATGCCTGGTAGCTGTGACAGAACACAGCTCGTCCATACACCCTCAGCTTGGGAACTTGCTGTAGAAGAGATAAGTGAGATCGTAGTTCTTGAACTGGCACACCTGCAACTCGCGGCGATGCCAATCTCCGATCTTGGTGAGGTGACGCAAATCTGCTGGTGTATCCTTTGCTTGAGATGCCTACAAATATAAATATTTCAGTAAATTTGTAAATGAATTTATTGAAAACCTTCAAAACAGCGTGTAATACCTGATTTGCAAAGAGAGTGATGGTAAATTTTCTGGGATTGAAAGCCTCTAATACTCTACTGATGATTTCGCGGTAAGACGCAGCCGGGACGTTAGTCTCAAAACTAACGTAAGAGAACTCTGGTTCTGGTGTAATATGAATAGTCATATAGTTACCCTAAACATAAAACAAAATTAGTCATCTCGTTAAATTTCTACATCACAAAAATATTGTCAGTAAGTGAAACTCACACAACTGGAGTCAGTATTAATCTACAATTCCACAGCAAGACATGTCAAATGGATTATAGAATACGATTAGCAAACATTCTGATATCCCACAATAGACTAAACATGAATTAATAAAATATTGCAACTTGTACTTACATTTTTCGTAACTCCGTTCATCGAATAACCGCACGGTTCGAACAAATAGTCGTCGATTATCATATTCGGGATTATTTTATCTATACCAGACTTCTATAACAACAATGGAACACATTCATATCGGCATGTTAGTAAACATATCACGGGGGGTAAACAAACCTTGGTCGCATCAGCTGCGGTCAGTGAATCCTCACGTGTGAACACCGACATAATCTCTGGATCCAAATCGGTCATCAGAATCTCTAAGGTCTGATCCGGCTCGGCCATTTTAACATTCTGGCCATTCGGTACCTGGCGCCCATTGAATTCTGGAAGTGGGTTCAGCGTGTACAGAAACCAGCAGTCTTTATTGACTGGCCCAAGACAATATGCCGCACCATCATTGAATAAACTGTCCAATAATTCCACCTCTTGATCGAAGTGTTGATGCGGCGTGACTTGTAAATCTGGACGCTTGAAGTTTTTACGCGAGTAAAACAAGTCGTCCACTTCGTCAAATCCTGCGTAATGTTCGACTAAGTCCAAGAGGACTTCCAAGCATAGCAATGGAGTGGTCGTACCGCAGGTTTTCAGAATAAAACGACGCTTAGATATAAACATCGAACTTTCACTGCAATGGAAAAGTGAAACGTTAGCAATACGTTTAGAAATTGGGGATTAAAGTTTAAAGTTGAAACGAAAATCTGATAATTGATTACAAATTCGATGCAATTGCGTGAGTCGAGCATTTTAAATCGGTTAATTAGTCATTATTAGGTCCCCACGCGCCAAAATGTGGTCGACTGTAAATGCTGACGCCAACATCGCGTCACTAATATGTATTTAAAAAAATACAAAGCATACGTACGAACAAATGTAAGTGTCTGTAAACTGTGTTTGCACATGATAGCATTTCATTAATAAACTTGCTCAGAGAATCAAGGAATGTACAATGTATATTAGCTGTCATGTTCCGGATGGTGAATTAATCAATGACCTTTGCACTTGTTCCAAATAAAAATGACTAATGTGTCGGTTCACATGCATTACTTCCAAATACATTCTAAATATGTACAAAAGTTCTATTTTTGAAAGTTTTCAAGACTTTTAAATGAACTATGAACATTGACAGAAGACACATGCATTAATACAACTTAAATTCAAATTACATTCCCTGAATGTATCGTGAGCAAGTTGACAGAGTATTAATGACTAATACGTATTGCTAATAATAATGTCACAATGTAATGCAAGGCACGTCCCGATGAAAACTTTTGCTTTCACGAACACACGTGCACAAGGCCAGTGCGGGCTACTGCTTGGTTTTCGCGTTGGTAAGCTGCCATAAAGTAGCAATTAATGAACTCGAACTCGAACCCGGTTCGGGGACAAGACCATGGAGGACAAGCATCGATGCGCGAATTCAAACGATTCCACTGTGACATCCACGTTTTATCTGCGTAATGAACTAGACGACGCCGGTTGACCGATAGCAACAGCAAACTATCTTCGTGCGCGCGCCATATTAGTTCGAAAGCATTCGCGATTTGTTTTAAAACTGATTGCGACGTTGATCAACACCAAACTAATCTCGGTATAAATTAAAGATCCCATACATATTGAAACAGTGCTCCACAATGAACACACTTTAGGTCGCGGAAATAGGTGCGACCTTCACCCTTTTAATTTCGCTCGAAATTGTGATCGTAACAATTTGAGCGCGTAGTGATGTAACTGTACATGCATTTATATTCAGGCCTCTTATCGCACACACGCCGGGCCTTGATAATTCAGGCGGTTTGTTGAACTGGATCTTCTCGTGAAACGGCCCTGCCGGATTACATAATGCGATCGAAGTGTTCATTCACCCAGATGACTGATTAGTATAAATTGAGCATTTTTCCACGAGCCGCGGGCGCTGTAATTCAGCGCGTTGTTGACGCAACAGCGAAAATATTTGGTTGCGATGTGGGAAAAAAACACAACGTAATTGCGTTAAGTAAGAGTAAATTCGCGCGATCGGAGTGACACTGCTCTTGAAAAGCTATTTTCGCGTGGCGTGCAAACGACGCGTGCCAACAACAGAGTTACCCACAGCTGATACACGCGGTTTATCGTGCGCAAGAAAATGAAAAACAGTAAACACACGACTCGTTGCGGCCGTGGCTGCCTGCCAAGTAATTTCGCTCTTTCCCTGAAGGGTTTACATTCGAATTCGACACTGGCGAATCTTTGTAGATGTGTGTATTGTTTGTCTGATAGCAGAGTTAGGAGATGAGGTTGCAGGATCGATGGATGAAGGGAGCAAGACGCGGGCGGGTCAAGCCCAGGAGGCAGCGGCGCTGTGGCGGCGGCTAAAAATACCCGTGGAGATAAACTTCGTCGCGAAAATGGAACGGATACGCGTGCGCTGTGCGCTCGCCGTGTGTTGGGACCTTGCCCTTGGCCACGGCCATCTACATTGCCTCGCTGGGATTCTAGGTCGCCAGCGAGATAGATAATTAGCTCGTCAGACTGAAGTCCTCCTGCTGGCTGCAGGGAGACCAAGCGGCAGCTGCACGCCTACGCTGCTGACGTAAGTACTTGCCCCTTTCAGAAGGGGCTGCGGCCGAATCGAAGGCGGCAATCGATCTCGTCAGGCTCTCTCGTCCGCGTCAGGAAAGCGCGCGTTGCGGCGGCCCGCAGGATCGATACCAGTGTACATGCGATGATGCGACACAAACGAATGCGCGACTCCACTTCCCACTTCGAGAGCATCTCGTCTAGCACGCCGGCAGACTATCAAAACTACTGATAATCGCACTATCAGCGGCTATAAAAAGACGCCGCGACCCGATTCCCAACACACAATCATTTAACAACGGACATAAATTGATCTTACCTCAGCACGTAGGCGTCTATATTGTCGTTGCTGGTGAAACTGATTATCTCACAGCGGACTATCTTCAGCAAGGACTCCAGTTTGCTCCTAAAACAAAATCAAAAAACGTTCAGGGTCATCGTTTTTACTGGATTAAATCATAAGCTGGATATATCGGAATCCGCGAAAGTGACATGCGGTTGAGATACTCATGCGGTTTATAATGATTTATGCGAAGCGTGTTTAACGGCGATCCCGGCGACAACAAAGGAGTCAACGAGCAAGCTCGGCAATCAATTTATTTGATTGCTCGTATAAAATTCTGCAGCGCGAACATCTAATAATAGATTCGATTAATGTGCGATGCTTGTAAGCCGGCGCGCATGCACGAGACACAGCAGTGTTACAAAATAAATAATACAAACGAGAAACGACAATAAAGAGCAGAGGGCAAAACCAAAACTAATAAGTAACAATTGTATGCGCATACTTACATAATTGTACTTTGAACTTGGCAATTAAATCAATCAACAAGTTAATCGTCACATAGGAGAAGTTTAATGGACGCGCGCGCGGTCAAAATTTTCCAAAAATAGAAAAAAATTATCGGTTTGTAAAGTTTCTTCTCTGGCAAATTATGTTCACAAATACGCGGCGATAAGATTTGAATACGTAGTAATGTTGCAACCTTACACGTACGATAACTATTGTAGTGTAAAATTCGGAATAATCAACGTTGCGCTCATGTACTATCGCAAATGGTAACAAATAACACCGTGGGTACAAAGAAATACCTAAGCCAACGATAAATATTGACAAGTACGGATTAGTGCAGCAGAATATTTAAGTAAATATCAGCTGGATTTGGAGTATGTTTAATAATTTATGTTTCCGTTATTAGACATGCCTCCCAATGTTGAATTGTGCGACATTGTTGCACATTACACGCCGTTTGTTTATATTCAGGTTTACGGTAAAGCAAAGGTCGACCGATCGATACACAGCGCACAACGCGAGCGCGCGAATTCGAAAAACGTAAATGTTCATGCAAACTACATGCGAAAAGGTACAGGTACGGGTACACGCCGGTCAGGTGCGTGCGCTTGCCACGCGTCCTGGCAAATATTCCCTTTTTTTGCCCGCCGACGGGAGGAAAATCCCGCTATCCCGCTCACGGTCACCGCGCGCCGTTACGGTCCAATCAACAATATCACTGAATGCTGACTCGGATATTTTGCCCTCTTTTAACAATTCAGCAATAATTTTTTTCTTACATATCTGATCTTAACATTGAAATGAATAAATTTAATTGCTAATTTCTTCTTACCTAGGAATTTTCCTCAAATCAGCGCCCTTCTTGGTGGCATCGTTGGTGGTAAACCAAATCTCCACCAGTTTCTCGACCCCCTCGAAAAATTGCACATTGTCATTCATCGAATCTTCGCCGGATGCCATCGTGTGGTTTGTTCACCTTCTCGTTCTGGTCGATAAGATGCTGGATGTCGCAGGATACCTCGCGGGGTTCCTCAGGTCGTGCGCACTACGCGTTGGATCGACGGGCACAGTGTGTAGCGGGCGCGCGAATGGCAGGCGAACGTCGGATCGACTGGACCCTCTCTGCGGTGCGAAGCGAGTGTGGTCGGCGTCTCGAATCCGCGAGCGAGCTCGAGTGCGGGCGGCGCGCGTTCGCGTGGAAAGCGAGCGACGTGTGGCGCACGACGCGCGCTCTCCTCAGCAGCCAGGCCTCAAGGAAAACCCGACTAAGGGTGGTCGACGGCAAATAACGGTTCGCGAATGTTACAATCCGTTTTATATTGAGCGCAACAAGAAATCAGAATTGCACAAATTCTTATGTTTTACTCTGCCTGATTTGAAGATTACAAAAGGGGAATGCAATTACTCGTACAGGTATGTTAATTATTCAAATATGTAAGCAATTTCGACAAAAATAAATTCTTGAACGCTGATTTGTAACCGTAGATTTTGCGTACGCGGTTATCACTCAAAAATTACGTTCAGCATTTTAGATTGAAATCTAATAAAGACATGATATATTTCATGTTATATATTTCGTTCCCAACATTCTGACCTTCGTCCCAGAAGAAATAAGAGCAGAAATTCATCGGATTATAAATATTTTGCTTGTAAATGTTCAGCGAAGCACGCGCTAGCAAAAAAACTCGAAAACAACGATAAATGTAACTGGAACTAAAAATTTCCGACTAATATACCTAATGTCAACAGTAAACAAGTGCCATTTGCTGTCGATGCAGCATGCACCATTGTTATATCAGTCGCCATATCGTTCTCACTATGCACTATAGAAACGGGACTTCAACAATACTATTTTTAGCAGAAAATTCACATGTTTTCGACTTTAAACATACATGGTTGCCACAATTTGTAATCTATGGTAATCGTTGATTGCAATTTAATCTATAAATCAAAAATTCACAGGGTGCCATCTTGTGTATACATAATTTTAAAAATTAAGCGAATAAAAGCAAAGTATTTTCATATTATAATAATTAAATCATTGTTTGTTCAGTCGAGAATTTTGATACAATATCTACGCTGAAAACAGCTCGTGCATCCACCAAAAGTGAATGAAATCAATTACCTGGAATGTTAATAATCATCTAATAAAAGGACCAACATAAACCACACGTTGTATTCTTATAAATATAAACCGACTGGCTTTATTCTCGATTCTTTCTTAATGTTTGTAGATACGATACGTTTCTACATGTGTACATTAAATTAATTGGTATATTCTAGAAGCCGTGACGGTTCTTTTCAGGCATCTGATATAACTTAAAACTGAATGAGCAATTGTAATGGTATTACAGTTAACTTTTAATTTGTAGTAGTTGGTGTTCCGACAACTAGATGACGCTAGTGTTGAATCTTCAAGCGAAATAATTTGTTTATCTTTACCAACCTTGTAGCGGAAACTGAGTCGCAACAATTATTTGTGCTAAAATAAAGCTCTTTTTTCATTTGGTTAGAAATCACACACCAACTACCTGACAATCGCCCTCCAAATTTGGTAATTTTGCTAATTTCCGCAAACTGTGTACGTTTGTGCATTATCTCGGTAACCGTTCGAGCCATAGTAATGCCGCTTTCATATTAATATAGCGCAAGAGTTGTTATAAGTGATGGGACGGAGGCTATGGTTAACAACGTTTAGTTACGTGATGCTTACGCTATTTGTTCTGCTTTCCCTCTATTTCCAGGTTTAGGTTTAGTTTTCGAGTAGGAACGCGGCTTCTAAGGGATAAAGCATAACATTACTGCTTTTAACACTCATTTTGCTATTGTTTCGTGTTTTACTCTTCCGACTTATCGGAGTTTGTGTATAAACAACTCTATCGCCTTGAACAACTTCTAGCTATGCTCGCACTACAAACGTTCGCACGTTTTAGTCAGTTCTTACCTGCCCACGGCTCGCCGCCTTTCTTTCTTCCATTTCAATTAAATGAATTCCATAACATTTTATCTCTAAAAATCAGCATAAAAATTAGCACTTAATGACAATAGACGTGTTTAGTGTTTTTCTAACGATGATTTGTGCGTGAAACGATCATAAAACTTGTATCATCTTTTGTACGTATTTGTACATTTGTTTATTGTGTTCCATCGACTATTAGATTTTTTCGATGCTAAATATTGGAATTGGAAATATGTATACAATTCTTACTTTCGAGTACCTATAATTAGCGTCTCCCCTCAGCAGGATTTTACGGGTACTTCAGAAAGTTTACTTACTCGCAATGATCGGATCATTGTGGGTCATTGCGGGTCCGACGGAACGGACTTAATAAGTGTGTAGCATAGTGCGAGGTCTTACACCCGTCTTCTTTCTGTTTCGGTACATTATTTGATTACCCGCTTCATTGGTAAGTTTTTAAATATTATTACATTATTATTATTCTTTTTTCATTAAATCCGTGTAACGAGGGTTCCGTTATAACTCAAAATTGTTGCGTGTTGACGGATACATTTTCGGTTTACCGTACCTTTCATCTTGTATTGTTTCTTTGTACTCGTAATCTTAAGGTTACAAGAATTAATTCTGCAATCTCGTTAACGTGACAATTTTTGTCCGTAATATATTTGTATAACGTGATTTCAATATCCTTCCGTGTTTGTGTGTGCGATGACGTCGGACGGCACTTTGCCTTGTTCGAAGTGTATCCGAAGAACGCGTTGCAAAGAAAATCTTAATTTTGCAATAAAATTTTATAATGGTGTTTTATTTGTATATTTATTTGGATTGGGTATCTTACCTCTCTTACTTCTAACCAACTAGCCAAAGGGCTTGACTTTGGAAAATGCCCTTTAAAAATTGACATTTTCCAAAATGTTTGAAAACATAGTTTGGAAAACACCTTGTATCTTGTAAATTAATTTACTTTGTTGAAGGTATTTACCGTTATATTAGAGTTCGTTACGATGCATACCTTTTCAACCCAATAGCCCTTTCGAAAGCACCCTGAAATACTCTTTAAAAATTGGAGTTTTCCAATAAGTTTGAAAACATAGTGTGGAAAACACCCTGTATCCCGGGAATTAAATGACTTTTTTAAGTTTGGTAACGTCATATTAGAGCTTAAGAGTTTATCTACGTGATGCATACATTTTCAACCCTCTATCCTTCCCGGAAGTGCTCTAAAATGCTCTTCAAAAATAGTTGTTTTGCACAAAAATTAAAAACATGGTGTGGAAAACACCCTATATCTCCGGAATTAATAGACTTTCTTGAAGTTTCTTAACGTCAGATTAAAGTTCGGGAGTTTATCTACACGGTACATACCATTTCAATCTGCTAGCCCTACGGGAAGTGCCCTAAAATGCTCTTAAAAATAGCTATTTTTGTGCAATAAATTTCATTTTCTGGCTGAAAAACAACGTATTTATAATTATTTTTGGTCGAATCACAGGGTCGAACGTCGTTCCTGATGTTTTCGGTCAAATTTTTTGTAAACATTTTTTCGATGGAATTTTTTTTCGGTCGAAAAACAGAGTCAAACTTTTTTACTTAAATTTTTCGTTCGAATTTTCCTGTTAAAATTTTTTTGGTTGAAAAACAGGGGCGATCTTTTTTACTTAGAATTTTTCGTTCGAATTTTTTTAGTTAATTTTTTTTTTGGTCGAAAAACAGGGTCAAACTTTCTTTACTTAAATTTTGTTTGGCCAAAGAACAGTGTCGAACTATTTTGTTAAAATGTTTTTCGGTCAAAAAACAGGGTCGAATTTTTTGGCGATTATGTCAAGAACAAAAAGGTCTACGAAAGACGAATGCATTTTTCTCTAAAATTGTAAATAGGGTCTAAACGGTTAATGTTATCAAAAAAAGTTACCAAAATAATCGATGTAGAATTAAATTATCTATCAGGTATCCGATTTAAAATTTAATCGAAATTAATAGTTCCATGCATAGTACGAGTACAACTCTATTCATGTTCTGCACTACCACACTTAGGGTGCATTCGCGTTGGACGCTTACGCGCTGTGAGCGCTCACGCTTATAAGCACAAATTTTTAGTGTTCGAGATGGCCTATAGGCGCTTAGAATCAATAAATAAATTTCGTTCGTTTTGGATATTGTGAGCGTCAATAATCATCAACATGGCAACTGTTTATCAAATAATTTAAATTTTTATTTTTAAATTTTAATTTAATTGTAAATTTTATTACTTTCTGGATCAGTTAGCTCAACAGAAATTAATTTTGGTTGACTGCTTGCCATTTTGCGGGATTGTAAAGAATTTAACAATTTAGAAATAAATGAAATTTTTGGTTAGCTTATGCTCAAGTTGCATTCGTTTTGACAGATAATAAAAATTGGCGCTCACGCTTTCGCTGCCCTACCTCTGTGGCGTGAGCATAAATGAGCGCGAAGTCTGTGCTACGAACTCAGCCATGAGCGTACTTATGTGTCACTCACAGCGCCAAGTCGAACGATGAAAATGACATGTAAGCACGCTCACAGCGCGTAAGCGTCCAACGCGAATGCACCCTTAAAGTATCAGTGTTTACAAACAAACATGTTTTCTTATCTCGCGCAATTTTTGTGCGATCGCCACGCGGTTGGCTTGTGTACCACGTTAGTTTCATTTTTGTCATCAGGTGATGTGCACGCACATTTTCTTCATTATACTCGAAGTCCTTAATTTATCTTCATGTTGTTACGTAATTTTTTTAAGGTTTTTTCGATTGTGCGCGCGTGATGTGCGGCTTCGTTAAACCCGGATTGCATATACGCATCATTCCTATAATGTGAATAATTAATCAGCAATTTTAAACGTGTATTACATTTTCGCGTGAATTTCTGATCGGTTGTCGTCGGTCGCCGGCCAGCAGACTTTGTGTGTGATTATAAATAATATTTTGGAGTTTTGCGAACCATTTTTGACTTCTGCACAACTCGTTGCCTCAATGTGTTACCTGATACGAATACTAATTTAAATATAAACTAACGAAATTTTGGATTCCACCGGAACTCTTTGAGTATTAATTAATTATTAATTGAGGGTTTACGCGCCGCGAATGATTGCATTTTGCATCAGGTTGGAATTATTCTTAAGGAATTTAAATATATGATTTTTATTTACTGATTTGATTTGCTCCGTTTTACAAACTTACAGCCAGGAAAATATATCTATATATG